GTTACAAACACTCTGGCCAATTATCTATTCACTTGGTTTGCTTGTTTTGAGACCTACCTACCTGGATGTGTAGAATTCAAACCTTGGAGGCAGAAGTCTGTGAATCTTTAGAGTAGTCCTGAGCTGCAGGGCCCTTGCTACAGATTTCTAAGTTGGTAAAGCCTGTTTAAGCAAGTGTCATATTCTCTAGCACACCCATGTGAATACATATATTTTTCTTAGTAAGCCATTATCTACTATTAAAAAAATTAAACATGTTTTTATATGTAAAGCTAGAGAATAAATATGCAGCCAAAGGCTCAGTGGTTAGCATGTCCACTGTGAAATCCCAAATATACATTGACAGAATGCTTTCCTGGAGATTTTTACAGCACTTCGTCCTGATCCTGTGCAATATCCAGCGTTCCAGGGAAGTAAAGTAGCTGCTCTCTGGGAATGCTGTCTTTGGGAAGCCTGGCACAATGTCAGTACTGCAAAGGAAACTAGAGGTCAGGATATCTTTAGCTGCTTACTCAATCTAGCGGTCAAAAGTGCTGGGTTTGGGGGAAGGCTTAAACCAACATTTGGAATCTTGGAGTTTCTTCAACCCTTCTAGAGACTTTTGGAACGAAGGCTTATTTTTGATGTATTTGTTTTTATGAGAAAATAAACCTGAAATGCAGTCACTACAAAGAGGCTCCCAAGAAAGCAGTAGTGATCTGAGTATTTATACCAAGGTAACTGGCAGACCCTATTCCTCCATTTACCTCCATTTACCTCCTCCCAAACTCAGGCAGCTTTAAACATTTACCAGTGCATCCCTGTTTGAAATCCTCTATTTTCCAATGATCATTGTCAGTAGTAATCACATTCTTGTACTTTGAGCTCTATATTTTTTTCTAATTTTTCTTCTAGTATGTCATTCAGGGATTCCTTAAATTTTCAGATATGTCAAAGCTTACCATTGCTATTCTCTCACTGATAATAGATTTACACACTCATTTACTTTTTACTTGTTTCCACAATTTCTAGATACTGACCACCTGTACTCAGACTGCCATTTTATGGCACTGGGGTTTCAACCAAGGGCCTTGGTCATGTTAGACAAGTGTTTCACCACTAAGCTATGTTCCCAGATTAGACTATCATTGTAAAACCTGTGTAAATATTATTCTTAATTTTTTGCTCATTAAAATACTGTTTCCTAAATGAAAAGTTTATTCCTGTTACATAAATCCCTATTTTAAGCAATATTTCAGAAACTGCATTAATCTTTTGGGAACAAAGCTATTCGGTGAGCTAACGTTTCCCATGCAACCTTATTCGAATTTAAAAGAAAGCAGCCTCTCTCTATTTCCATTCTGAACTAAGCAACAAATTTTTCTACAAATGCTGTTTGATGTTCAGGTTTTATTAGATGGTCCTCTAAACCTTTAGAGTAATATCCTGACTCCAAGTAGCATGGAACATCTTACCAAACGTAGAAAATACTGTTTCCACCCAGCAGATACAGATTTGAAGTTTGCTAACTCTCCAGGTCCCCGATCTTTTGAAACTTCAGAAACAATGCCTGGTGTTGCAATGTTTAAATGTCATTCAAAGCAGACAAGGAAAGAGCATAGTAGAAACACAAGCTCCTGAATAGAAGGCCTGGGATGAGAAGGCAAAGCCCTGTTCACCATGGAGCGCAGCCCTAGAGACTCAAAGAGCAGAGGCAACATTTAAATTTAGAATTTGCTGGGCTTTTTCTGATGCTGAATTGCAACTATTACACTATATAAAAGATTGGAAGATGAATGAATCTCTCTTCTTTTAAAAGGGAAATCTTACGGGTGTACCATTAGAAAGAATTGCTTCAAAACACTTATACAAAGTCAAAATGCCTTTAAAAATATTTCTAGGCTTAGAGAACTATATAGTTAGGATAAAATAAGCATATTCTGGGATTTCAAGCATTTATAAATACATCTGACTTTACCAAATGCATAAAAATTCATCTTGTGGTTAGGTTTTTTTTGTTGTTGTTGTTGTTGTTTTTGTATATCACATAAACTCCAAATTCTCTCTGGCATTAGACAAAGCTCCCTGGGACTCATGCTTTTGGGAACATGTACTGTGGCTGTGATTATATTGAATCTGAGCTCTGTGATACCCTTCATATATGTGTTAACACCTTTGTTAATATTATTTTATAATATTAAAGGTTTAAGTTTCAATACCTTGAAGTAATACACACACACACACACACACACACACACACACACACACACAAGTTAAATGGACTTATTAGCATTATCTTTCCCTAGAATAAGTCAAAGGCAGAAATGAATGCTTTTAGTTTATATGGAAATAGCCAAAGCTGAAGTGTTGTTCCCACTAATAAATCCAGTCTATTTTGGAAGTACTGATATAATTAACATCCCAAATTGGGGAAAGACTTCCTGGGTTTTTATTTATTTTTTTGTACACGACTACATATATCAAAATTTATTACAATTTAATTTATACTCAGTCTAATGCACTTATTCTTAGTGTACAGTTATATTAATTTTGACTTATTGAAAACTAATATAACCATCATACCACTCAAGATAAAGACTTTCCCTTATTTCTTGAACAGCTTTGCAGTCAGTTCTACCCAAAGTCCACCCTTGGAAACCAAAGACTGGGCTTCTTTCACTACAGATTAATTTTGTCTGTTGTGTCATCTGGTATGTGTGTGTAGCCGTGTCTGCCTCCTCTTCCCCAGTACAATGTGTTTGCCATTCATCTACTTTGTCATGTCAGTGGGTTGCTCCAGATCATTGCTGAGGTGTGGTCTGTTGTTTGGACCATGACTTCTCTATAGGCAGTTGGTATTTATGAGCATTATTTCTATTTTAACACTATTATGAATGAAACTGCTAAGAATATTTATGTGCAGTATACATATTTACGGATATATACTTCCATTAGTTTTGACTAAATGCCCAGGAGTAGAATTACTGGCTCATAAGTATATGTTGAATTTTACAACAAGATGCCAAATTATTCTCTGGAGTGCTTATGCAGTTTTATAGTTCAGAGTTGATGAGTAAGAACTTCACTGGTCACCTCCTCACCAATACTTGATATTATCAGTCTGTTTAATTTTGGCTATCTAGTGTCTACATAGTGGTATCTTGTAATGCTTTAATTTTCATTTCTGTGATAATATTTTCATGTACTTATTAGTTATTCAGAGATTATTTTGTTCATTCTGAGGTGGGTTGCTAGAACTGTGTGGTATAAAATCTTCATTTATATCTGATGTCAATTCTTTGTCAAAATTTGTACAAATTTTGCCCCCAGACTATTACTTGACTTTTTATTGATTCTTTCCTAATGATATTTTAAATTTTCATGAAGCCTAATAGGGATTGAAGTACACCTCCTTCCCCAATAATATCTTGAGCTCTTAATTCTCAGGACTTTGATGAAGAGTAATTTTATTTGAAAATAGAGCCTTTATAGAAAGCAATCAAGTAAAAAAAAAAAAAGGCCATTACTGTATCAGATATGGCTTATCTCCTTATGAAAGGGGGGGAATTTATAGGCATGTACACACAGGGAGAATGTCATGTGAAGACTGGGGCAGAGATCAAAGTGATGCATCTACAAATCAAAGAAATGAGAAAGACTGGAAGACTGGCAGCTAACCACCAGAAGCCAGAAAAAAAGGCCTGGAACAGCTCCTCTCCAACTCCCAAAGGAAGGAATCAGCCCTGGTACACCTTGACCTTTGACACACAGCCTCCAGCAATGTCAAGAAATACATTTCCATTTAAGTCACAAAGTTTTTCACACTTGGTTACAACAGCCCTGGGAAACTCAAGCAAGTATGTCATTTTTCTTTCTTTCCTGGCTATGGCTTTTTGCACTCTAACGGATCTCTGCCTTTCTCAAGGTTATTAAGATTTACTCCCATGTTTTCTGTTGGGTCTACATTATTTTTACATTACATGCAGACATACGTATTTTCCTATTCACTGGTTTCCCGTTTGGGCTTTCTAATGCCAGAGGGAGCACCTGCTTCTTGTATAATCTCTAGAATCAATCATAGTTTCTAGCAACAGTATAATGTATCAAGTGGCTGTGTGCCCATCTCTGAAAGTTCAACTGGGAGCAAGTTTTATTTCCAAGGGGATAAGGTCCAATGTACTTTTGATTTCCTTCCTGCTTCATAGGGGATGATGGTAACTGATGTTCTAATACCAATTACTGAGTGCCCTGCAAGGTCATACCCAGGTGCAATTCCCCATTCCTACTGCCCTTCTTCCACTTGAGGTGAGCTATTCATGTACAGATCCAAGAGGTGTGGCTCTGCAGAGCTGTCCTGAAAGTACTGAAGCAGGGAGTCCTTTCTTCCCTGAATGCACAGCAAGGCCAGTGTTCTCAGTGGTGTGGTATCATCCTAACCCTGCACTACCAGAAAGAACATGCCCACCTCCACACGACAAATTACTATCACCAATGAAAGTTATTTTTTTAATAAAAAGTATTTTAATGATTTATTTTTATCATATGGATGAATGCTTTGCCTGCATGTATGTAAGTGTATCAAGTATATACAATGCCTATGCAGGCTGGTAGAAGGTGTCAGATCCCCTGGTATTGAAGTTAAAGACAGTTGTTAGCTTCTATGTGGGTGCCGGGAACTGAACCAGGTTCCTTGGAAGAGCAGCCAGTATTCTTAACTACTGAGTCATCTCTCCAGCCCCATGTGAAAGCTATACTCCTCTGTTCCAAAATAAAATGTTTGGAATCAAAAGCCTTCTAAGGTCATGGAAAGCACTGAGAACATAATCTCATAAATTCTGTCTGTAAGTTATTTTTCTAGAATACGGTACTCAGCATCTGATACACAAAACAAGTTGCCATTGAGAACTCGTATTACTGTGTTCAAACACAGTGCCATTTTCTGGTTGCTGGAAATCTATTTGAAAAAGAACTAAATCTTTAATATACTCACTCTAAAACCTTTGAACAGGTGAATACCTTACCCTTGACTGACAGGTGTCTCCATGTCACTGTTGGTTCTGGTCTGCCAATTGCAAGACACAGCAGGGTCACACTGCTTCCCTCATTCACAGTGATGTCTGAAGAGATGTTCATTATCTGGGGAGGAACTATGAAGAAATGCAGGAGAGAAACGTAGGTGAGAATGATTCTTTGAACTTTAAAGGAGCTGCCAACCTATAAATATGTATACAGCACAATTTTATCATGAATACTGTTTTCAAAAATGAATTCCAGGTTGCTTGGCTTGACAAGGATCTGGCATTGAGAACATTTACAGAATATGTCCAATAGGAAAAGATTGTAGTTGTACCTTGTTGAATCACATGTCAAGCATGTGTACAGCCATAGTAGGTGCAAAAATCCTGAAGTCAATGACATAACTGCTTGTTTACTGAGTGGCAGCCTGTGGGCATATATAAGGACTTCCAAGAATTCCTCTCTAGTCACATGTTCATTCTGGTGGAACCTGTGGCTTATATAGATGACTACATGAGTACCCAGTAACAGGCACTCCCAATACCTCATTCAAAAAGTCAAACACACTGGTTGTTTCCCATTTCCCAAGCATTCAGACCTTCTCAAATGCCTTTAATTTGAACAAAGTATCTCATCCTGAAATTCTCTTCTTCTCCTTTCCTGTTTAGTTTATTCATTTTATTGGTGTTTAGTGGTTGTTTATTTAATGTCTATATGAATCTAGGTCAACAAATCCATAGAACATTTAGAATTAATGGAAATTGTGCTTGACCCTGGAAGTAAAAGTACATAGTCCACTTTCACTGTCTGTATGTACATGGTATAGGACCATGTGCTAGAGCATGCACAGCCTTTTAGGGGCTGCATTCCTGAAGAAAACTTCTCTCCCTGCCACAGCAGCCATCAGCTGCCAATAGCATCTCAACTAAGGTTAGGAGTTCATGAGCCCCTTCCCTGTCCATGCTGGGATTTTGGCAGGCTTGGTCTTGTGCTGGTCTCGTGCATACAGTCACAGCATCCATCAGTACATATGCTCCATAGCCCTGTTGTGTCTGGAAAACACCGTTTCAGTGTAGTCATCCTCTGCCTCTACTCTTACAAACTTCTTCCCTGTCTTCTACAACGATCCCTGAGTCTTGGGAGGAGGAAGTTTGATACAGATGGATCATTTAAAACTAAGCTCTCTGCAGCCTCTTATTCTCTGCACATTACTCAGTTGTGGGTCTCTATGTTAAGTGAAATCTATTGTAAAAAGAAACTTCTCTAATGAGTGTTGAGAGGTGTAATAATTTATAGATATTTGCCTAAGAACTTAGGAGACAGTTTAATTCTGTGTCCATTTGGCAGAATCATAGTATTAGGTTCTCTCTCTAGGGTCTATGACTTATACAGTCATGGATTTGGGGCCCAGTTAACAGTACCAGGAATGAGTTCATTATTGTGTTGTAGGATTTAAATCCAAGCACAAAGTGGTTGGTTACTCCCATAATAGTCATGCCACTATTGCACCAGTAGGCCTATCTTGCCAGGCCAATTGTTATGGTAGATTGCAAAGTTCACAGCTGAAAAAGATGACTAATGACTTCCTTCCCTCTGGCAGTACAAGTAGACCTTCTGGTACCATGAAACCTAGTCATAAGGGATGATGCTTCTTGACCAATGTCAGCTTGATTTCTCCACATCCTATGAGCCAAGTATATGGTGTCTTCAGCAAGAGGGTCTTACCATCAAGTTCCAGAGGATAACCAAGAGCAACAGAAATACCCTGTAATGTTTGGAGGGAGGTGGTCAATGGAAACTCACTGACCAACACCTGGAAAAGAGGTTAGTAACCCATACCTGGCAGGGGCTGTTTTTTTGTCAGCCTGTCTGGAAGAGGCATTGTTCCACCATTTTAGGCTAAGTACATTTAACCTCCTTTTATATGCATCTATATATTTAGGAAGCTTCTATAGTAGTAGGGCATATGGCATTTTCAAAAGTCTTTAGTGTAAGTTTTCTCTCCCCATATTCCCTCCTATGCCCTGCCTTCCCATCTCCCACCCCATTTAACCCTCCCTGTTCCGTTATTCCCATTCTTCCTCCTCACAATCTTCTCAGTTCTTTATCTGAAAATCTCTACCTATTCCTTAAAAGCAGATCCTTTAAAACCCTGACACTTTCTCTGACTTCCTTGATTACTGTTAGTTGTAGTCTTCTTGAGCCCAGCACGCATGCATTAAAGTACCTGCTAATGTCACTTTTTCATTGTACAGATATTTCGTGGCTTGTGATGGGGTTTGATCAATAAACATTCTGATTTGAAAATATAATTAAGTCCATTTGCATTGAATATACCTCATGCAGAGGATCAGTGCTGCTCCCCCTCATGACTGTAGGGCTTACTTGGAGATGTGACTCACTACCACTGCCCAGCATAGCGAGGGAGTTTCATACCACATAAAACACTAGACTGGGAAAGATCCAAAATCAAAATTTAAAGAAAGGCTTCTACATCATAAGAAACATTTTTGCACTATTGCAAAAGTAGGGAAAATTTCAAGAAGAACCATAATAAGTCAGAAATTATCTGTGGTATTATCTATCTATCATCTATCATTTATCTATCTATCTATCTATCTATCTATTTATCTATATCTATCTATGTGTTTTGTTTTTCTTTTTGAGATATGGTCTCCTTGTAGCCCCGGCTGGCCTGGATCTTACTATGTAGACCAGGTTGGCCTGGATATCACAGAGATCAGCCTGCCTCTTCCTCCAGAGTACTGGGATAAAAGCTACATGCCACCATGCCTGGATATATATTTATATATCTATATCTATATCTATCTGTATATCTATCATCTATCGATCCATCTATATATCATCATCTATCTATCTATCTATCTATCTATCTATCTATCATCTATCTATCTAATCAGAATGGTATCTTAGCCATCAGGGGCAGGGTTCTGAGGTGTGATTCCTCAACTAATCTATCTATCTATCTACCTATCATCTATCTATCTATCTATCTATCTATCTATCTATCTATCTATCTATCATCTATCTATCTAATCAGAATGGTATCTTAGCCATCAGGGGCAGGGTTCTGAGGTGTGATTCCTCAACTACTGTATGATCTTAAGCATTAATCTGTTTTTACCTGCCTGAGCTTCAATGACTTCACCTGTAAACTGCCCATGATGGTAGGAGCTAAACTTAATGTTGTGCAAAATTTTAAACACCCGCTTAGCAGAATGCCTGCTAAAAAGGAAGCACTCTATAAGTATTGGTTGCTATGGTAGTGACAACAGTACTGTTGCTGCTGCTAATTACAATAACAGCCACAATAACATTTCACAATTGTTTTATTCTCATGGTTTGGAACCATGTTCCTAGTTTCTTTGGCACTACAGGACCTAACATGATCCCTGATCTTACTACCTAACTTGGCCTAACTCCTGGCCTTAATTATCAATTTGGCTCAAAGCTCAGTATAGGAAAATATCTAGATTCCTTCCCAATTTGCCTCATTACCATTTTTCTTGTTGTGTTTCTCATCAATTGTCACATGGATAGCTCCAATAGACTCCAACCTGGAATCTTCCATGTAGCCAGCATGATCTCTCGAGGCAAAAATCTAATCACCATGGTCTCCCAGGTATAACATAGAAGTTCTTCTGTGTAAGTGGAGCCTCTGTAGTCTGACCACAGCCCCATCACTACAAACAGCTGTCATCCACACAGCACACTGCAGATTCCAGCACCCCCAGCATTGTGTGAAGGCCCAGGCACCAACAAAACCTTGCTTTTGGTCCTTCTTCCTTCCCTTCCTGTAAAGGTGTGGCTTTGAGAACCACTCAAATGCTACCTCCCCTCTGCTGTCCTCCCTTACCTGTCTCCACATCCTAAAGTCATCTCTCCTAGGTCATCCCATCCAAACCTGCTTCGGGAAGGTGACAGAACTTGCAAGTTACAGATACTGCTGCACTCCTGTCCTTCCCCAGGGGCCAGGTGCTGAGGACAAGCAGGACTCATGCTTCTCTATTTGCTCAGAATTGGACTCATAGGTTCCTGAAGGGAGGAGCTGAATTCCTCTCCAGGAAAGGATTCAGACAATAGATTGAAAAGAATTCCAGTGCGAAGGGAGGCAAAGATTGGAATGAAAGATTTCAGCTGCCTAACCCTTTCTTCCAAATTTTATTTCAGATCTTCAGAATAAAAAGGATAGCAGAGAGATCAGGGGTTCAGCTTACAGTCATGCTGATTTATTTATGCTACTATTTTAATTCTCAAACAGATAGAACACTAATAGATTCCAAGCCTGGCAAGTCATTGATGGAGCAGAATTATGACTGATGCTCAGTTCTGAAGTCTCGGCTGCTTATGATTTTATGCTGCTGAAAAGTTACAGGTAAGTCTTTGCAATAAGAAGCTGTAAGTGATGAGCAGAACATTTGAGCTCTTAAGGGAATCTGCATTAGCAAATAAACAAAAATTGCTTAGCTTATAAATCTTCCATAGTTGGGGTTATTTCTGCATTAGGAATCGCCCTGAAATTTCGGTGCACATATTTTTACCAAAATACACACTGGGAAAAAAAAATAGAATACATTCTTACTGTACTGCATTCTCTTGAGAAAATGATTCTACATGTTTTTCAGTATTTTCTAGCTTGTTAAAAAATAGGTCTGGGCTTAGAAATGTCAATACTTTTTTTTGTTTGTTTATTTTGTTTTTTTCATTTCTATAAAGCAGAAACTTCTGTGCAACTTTCAAATATTCTCAAAATAATGTCTGCTTAAGCTAGCAGTGCTAGGCCATCTTAAGGCCTCTTTATGAAGACACCAGAATTTCCCTAGAAGCAAGTTGGACAGCCTATAGAAGCACAGGTGTGTTCATGGAGAGTGACTAAGTACCTTACAACCATGAGCCACCATTTCCATAGCTCCTGTATTTCTTGTGAGTGTTTGAAGAGACAAGTGAGAGTTATTTGTAAGACCCCATAATGACTTAGCATGATTTTCTCATTCCCCAGGTGGTCAGTCTATGCCACTCACTAGGAAAGTGCTTCCTGAAGCAGATCACTAAGGAAGCCAGGCATCCCCACTCTGCCAGCAGGTCTACCTGCCGTTCCCTGCAACTCAGG